GTTATCCCAAGCCCTTCTAAAGCCCCCGAATTTTTTTTTTCAAACACACAAGATTGAGGAGGCCTGTCTCTACCCCAACCCCCGACTATTCTTTTGGTCTTTCTCCACTTTTGGGCTGTTTATCTCCGTATAGAATAACGAATGCTAAGTCCCAACAACGGTCGAGTGTTGTAGGCCTGCTCCAGGTTCCATTGTAAAGCGCCCTACCCTCCATCAATTGCAACTGTTTTCCCCCTTCAATTTTTTTTTTAATACCACCCTCTATTTTTTTTTTCCTTTTGAGGGAAAATACTACTCTACCGATTTGCTACTACTACATCAGCGGTTTTTCATTCTTTGGAATTAGAAATGTCCGCATTTCTCCGATTCAAAAAGCATTCGCCCCCACCATTTTAAGATCTGAACAATAAGTCTTAAATTGGTTTGGTATATAGTCTTATTACTTGTAAGTGTGACCGTGAAGATTTGCTATTGAGGTTTTCATCACTTGATGCCCTTTAAATTGACATTCGTTTTGTAGAGATTCGTGGTATTTTGATAAAAAGAGATTTCTGAGAAGTTTTGATCTTTCATTTAAAGTATTTACCAGCTATTCTAAAAAATTGGTATTTAAAATGATTACCAATGAGAGTTTTGATTCTTTTTTCTTGCCTACCGTTTAGGACAAAAGTATTAGTACATGTAGGGTTAATCAAGTATACTCATTGATAACAGAACTAAACTCTATAGTAGACTGTAGTAAAATCTAAGCTAATCAATGACGTTTTCATGTAGTTTGATTCTATTCCATAGTAATAATGTTCTATTCCTCTGTTGCTGAAGATTCATAACTTCTTACTTGTTTACTGAACTTGCGCAGAGTATACGAACGTGAAAGTGCAAAGTTTCTCTAATTTACTAGTAATGTCTTAAATGAGTAATGTAGTAAATGAGTACAAGTATGATTCATTTATATAATTCTACCATGGTGGTCCGACAGTATTTTGAGATAAAATTTTCCATACCAGTTTTCCAATGAACTATAAAAAAAGAACTGACCATATTCACTGTCATTAAGTTTAGAAGCTATCGACAATTATTAAATAAAGACGAAAACATTTACTAATAATATTTAAGCCGACCATTGCATTCAACTACTGCTTTCAAATAAATTAGATATTTAATTTTTTTTAAGAAGGATAATGTGAAATTTTATCTTGGAAAAAGTACCGGACTATTATAGTAAAATAATATAACTGAATGCTTCACGCACACTAATTACAAGTACAGTAGAGAAAATGCAAAATTTCTCTGATTTACTTGTGATCAGAGTAGGATTCACTTGTATTATTCTACTCTAATAGTTAAAAGTTTTTTTTCTTTTTTTTAAATATTTTTTTCATATCAATTCTTTTAATGAACTACAAACAATAACTGACCGTATTTACTCTTATTAAGTTTAGAATCCATTTGCAATTATTAAAGAAATCTAGTAGCAAATATTCTTTAAGTTAATAGGCTTTCCATTAAGTTCATATGTTTAATTTTTTTTTTTAATGATATAAATTCATGTAAAAATAACCAAAGGCAAAATTACTTTATTAAGAAAGTAATTTTGCCTTTATTAAAAAGTAAAAATAAAGCTTTACCGTTATGGGAGAGGTGGATCATGGAGCTTAAGGCTACACAATTTCCTGACCAACGGCATGATTGTGGCAATGTGATCAGCACTGGTCTTCTTCACTTATAGCTGGCAAGCTGATATCCAAGCCATAACCAAGCACTGGGATTGAACACTAGTTCTTCACAATAACAGTTCAGTGCCTTAACCGCTGAGCAATCGTGGCTACTTTATTAACGGCAATAAGTTTTATATTCCTGCTTTTTAATTTTTCATGTCATCAAAAATAATAAAAGGAAACGCAACTGCATAGATTTTCTTTTTATTTCAAATTTTCTAAATGCTCTAAATAGAATCTTTTCACCAAAAGCTGCTCTTTTTTTAGTTTTTTTTTTCTTCCTTTCACGAATTCTGAAATTCAACTCTTCTTACCATGGGCATTATCTGCAATATCCCATCATACATCATTTTTCATTAATGCCATACCTCAATGAACTTAACCAAATAATCGCATTACTTCGGTTCGCCAAGCCTTGCTGAAAGTTTGGGCCATAAAAGCGGGGGCGATTTCTTTGAATTGCTCATAGAAAGAAGGATAAGCTTTGCACCGGCTAACAAAAACAGATTCTGCTGAAAAGGTCCTGCTTCTGTGAATAACATAAAAGATCAGGACCTCCTCTCTAGAATAAATATTACGCCAAGAGGTTTCACGGACGGACGGACATATAAATTCAAGTGTTGGTAAAAAGAGGGTCGCTTTTCACTTATTATTTTTTTTCCGTCAGGAGTGAAAAAGTTTATTCAAAAAGTTTTGAAAATCAGAGACGAATAAATGAAATTCAAAAAAAGTCGATTTTTAAAGATATTGTTGCCAGTATTTCTTGGATCTGCTGGGGTCAGCTAGATGAATGTTTTTTGACCATGTGTTTGTGATTGCACTATCAAAGTTCGTACTTTATAAAAAAGTTTAAAAAATGGTCTTCGTTTTCTTTTCCCTTTTCAGATTTAGAGGTAGTATGATAGTAGTATTAAAAAAGTGAATAAATCTGCAATTAATATTTTTCACTTTGTCATTTGTAAAATCAAATCAGAAGCCAGTAAAAACTATTTATCATCAGGAAGTCAGTTTTTGTTTTAAATAGAAATTTTTAGACAGTTTAACAAAAAAATGTGCTCATTGGTAATTTTTATTAGACAAAAACTGTATAAGGCATATGATTTGGACCGTGTTTAAAAATATTACTTAATTTGCACTTTGACTTATTTAAATGTGTTTATAGAAAAATTATCATAAGATTTTTTTAAATGATAAATCTAATGAAATATGAGTAAAGCAAATTGCAGAAAGTTAAATAATTTTTTTCTAATACACATGATTCAAATAAGTATTCTATTTTTCTAAGATATAAACATCATGAAATTTGGATAGTACTTTTCAGTTAGCCGAAACAAGAAAATTAAAATATTTTTCCTTCAAGTTTTTTATTTATTTTTTAATTTTTTATTTTATTTAATTTTTATGTGCTTTAGAAAATAAAAAAATAAATAAAAAAAAGCTGGTTGAGTTCTGCATTTTTTGTGACCTATCGCGTTCGCCCGGCTAACCGAAAAGTAGCTTTTGAATTATAAATTTGCTGGTGAAAATACAAAGCTTTCCAGTAGTGATTAAAATACTAATAAAAAAGTAAAACACTTTTATTTGTGACTATGATTACTCTTAAAAACTGATTATTCCATTTAATATTAATTTAGAAATTATAAATATTTCGATGTAACTGTAATTTTCTTGTAGTTAAGTGTTTTTGTGAAGAGAAAGGAATTGGTGCTTAGTACTAACCACATAACCACCATAATGTCGCTAGTCTTGAAGCGATGGAACCTTAACCTCCATGGCCGACAACTGGCAGTTCATGAAATGATTAAATTTTGTGAAGAAAAAAATAACAACTTATAATTTCATTACGCACAAGAAAAATGTTGATTACTTAGACTCTCTGAAATATACACCAGGCTGAACTCCAGGACAAAGGACTGTCATTAAACTAGGTCTAACGTTGAATATGCTTTCTTCAAAACACAAATAGTCTCATGTTCATACTTTGTAAACGTTAATTTCAATATTTTGCATGCTTATTTTAACTAATAACTAAATGCTTACCAGTTAATATTTTTATTAATATGTACTACATGTGAAGAATTCTTTCTATAAATTTGTAGAGCATGGCAAGCGTACACAAAACCATCCGCCACGAAAAAAATTAAAAGGCATTTCACTTCTTGTGCGGAATTTCAACTGGACAATTGTCCGAGTCTACCCCAATCCTTCAGCATGTGTTGTATTGTTACATAAGTATGTAATAATACTTCTGTAACACTGTGCATTATAATTAGGAATACGTTTTTCCGATTTGTTAAAATTATATTAGCTGGTTTAGAAAAAGAAGTCATTAGATTACTTTTGTAAATTAATTAAATGTGAAAAGAGAATGATTTAAAAACTAGTAGCCTCAAATGACTTTTGCTGAAAGTAATCAATTCTATTTAAGAACTTCTCCATGCTTCAATTAAAGGTCTTAATGTGAGAAGCAAGAAAATAATAGTTTTTCATTCTTAATGCATTTCTGATCAAGGAAAATGTAGCTATTTTGATTCATGTAAAATCACGATACAGATCATTGGGTAAAACTACATCAATCTGGTGCCTTATTTAATTTAATTTGGCTTCTCACCAAAATTGATTAGCAACCAGCCACCAACCAGACCACCATAAAACCGAACAACAGGGCAGACCACCATGATTTGTAAGTCTGTCTAAATCTTCATTTGCTTTACTTCATGAATATTTTTTCTGTAGACTATATCTGTTTCGATGAGGGCAAGAACAGAGCACAAATTAAACATCAGTGGATAAGATAACTTGTGTTGTTCCATTTGACTTTTCACTAAGACAACAAACTAGACTAACAATCAACTATAACCAGATCATTACCAAATAAAACCATCAGAATTTGTAAGTCTGTCTAAACTTAACTGCTTCTTACTTACTTTATTTTATGTTTTTAACAATGAGCAGTAAAAGTTTTTCAGTAGACTGAACCTGCTTTGATTTGTGTTGTTAGGACAGAGCACAAAATATAGCATCAGTGAATAAAATTACTTCAACTTTTTGTCTTACTTAATTTCATTTGGCTTTTAACCAAAACACCTAACTAGACCTCCAACCAGCCACAGACCAACCATCTACCAGACCACCACCAAATCAAACCGCAAACTAGACCATAAAAATTTATGGGTTTGCTTAGACTTACCTTTTTCCTGAATCAAAGTCCTCGATTGTTTTATTTAGCAATGAACGTTGCTTTCATTTTATGAAATTTTTAACAGTGAATGTTTTTTGTAGACTGTTCCTGTTTCGATGGGTGCAAGAACAGAGCACAAATGCAACATCAGTGGGTAAGACTACTTCCACTTTGTATCTTATTTCATTTTATTCGTTTTTTTTTTTTTACCAAAATAAACTAGACATCCTACCAGTCACCAAGCAGACCACCACCAAACCAAACCAAGTCACAAACCAGATCACAAAATATGTGGGATTGTTTAGATTTACCTGCTTTTTGTATTAAAGCCCTCAATTGTTTTATTTGGCAGTGTATGTTGCTTTTAACTTAATGAAATTTTTGACAATGAACAGAGAATGCATTTAAAATATTTTCTGGCTAGTTTGTTTATGTGTGTCCCAGAAAAAAACACAACTGAAAGCACTGTTACCTTCCATAAGACATTTCTCATATTCAACGTGGGTGGCAGAGCACAATGAAAAAGAATATTATCCTTTTTATTCAGTTCAGAGAGCATCTTCGCTCGGAACACTTTTGTCTACCCCGAAAACATATCGAACATTCGAGCTCTCGACAAAAGCAGACGAGAAGGACGGTTTCCGAGGAAGGCTTTGTTGTACCACAGAAAAAATCCTTTCTGGCTCAAAAAAGATGAATTGTCCGGGATCTGAATTCTTCCCACGCTTTTGAATTTCCGGGATAGGGTGGGTGGAGTACGCCCACCCTCGCAGAAAATAATGATTGGTTTTGGGGGATATAGAAGCGATTCAATCCGTCCAACCAGTTGCATCATGGCCACTGCTTCAAATCTTTTGTCCTAGGATGGAAAAAGGTGGCATCTTGCACACGTGTTTATCTATCGTTCGTTTGAGGGAGCTCTATTAAACATGTCATCTCCACGTGCCCTTATTTCAGTCTCCCTTCTTTTCGTTGTTAAAAAGAAAATATTTTAGTCATAATTTATTAAAAGACTACAATGTATAAATAAAGCGTGGAAAATATAGTTCATAAAAGTACTCAAGGATATAAATTTTAAAAATAAGTATTTTTTGTTTGTTTTTTATAATAATTTTCATGTTATATTTATAGTTGAATTATTTTTTAGTCGCTTTTTGCTAGTTAGCTGAAAAGCAAGAGAGTATAAAATACTAATTTAGTTAATTATGTATTAATTAAACTTCCAAAAAATATATTTTAAATAAAAAACCCAAAAAAGGGAAATCGAAATATTAAATTTTATAACTGTCGAAAGATTTCATTGGTCCCTTTAGACTCGAATTACCACGAATTGATTGTACATTTGCCCCGTCGAAGATGTATTGTGAAATAATGGAAAGCAACAAATGCTTCGGTTCAGTTTTGAAAATTATTTCAACAGTAATTTATTTTGCTATAAAACTCCTTTATGCATAAACATAAAAACACGAAACATAAAAAATAGAATCATAAAAATAAAAAATATCAAAATATTAAAACATAAAACATAAAAAAAACAAAATAAATATAAAAACATAAAATATAAAAATATTAAAACATAAGACATAAAAGTATAAATATTAAAACATAAAAATAATAAAACATTTATACATAAAAACATAACCCATAAAACTCCTTTAAAATGTATTAATTACCATTTAATTTCTCTTAGTCCAAAAATTTGCTGTCCCTGTTGCGTTTCTGCATACAACTTACCATAACTTAAAATATTATAAAGTGAAACGTCCTTTTAAGACTTACTTGAAATCGAGTTTAAAATCTTAAATCTCGTTTTTTACTTTCAATTGATTGAAGTTAATTTGCAGTAAATTTTGACTTGAGCACTGATGAATTATTTTTACTGCAATAAAATTAATGATTAATGAACTATCTCATTAAATCATTATCAAATATCCCAAACATTTAACTTTTTTAAAGCTTATCAAAGTTTCATGCATTAAAATAAAAGAAATGTTAATAGTCCACAGTGCTCTTTATCTATTAAAATAAATCAGAGTATTTTAAAAGGATAAACTTTTACTACCAAACCAAATCAATTGGAGAATCTTGCTACATAAATTTTTACTTATACACTGAAAAATCATTTTTACTGAAATGAAATTAATAAATTATCATGTACGAACTATCTTATATAAAACTTTTTTTTATAACTTAATAACATTTCATGAATTTTTTTTATTAATAATCTCAGGTTAAGGTCGACTTACAATTGTACCATGTTTCCTTCCAAGTTGTTCCAGAGCATCGTGTAATATGGGGAGATTGATTTGTGAATGTTAGATGACAGTAATAAGGTTTAAATTTGGCACCTTCTTAGGATTGTGGCTAATTTAAGCACTATTATTATTGAACATTCATTAACGTTTGTGACAGGTGGATAATTATATTTACCCACTTCAATTTACTAAAAAATTTTCTCAAGCACCGATGAAATATTTTTTATCCATGAATACTTAATACTTAACTTATATTAAAATTTTATAATTATTTATAATATTTCAGGCATAAAAAGCAATAACTGTGTGCAAAGTTGAACCATGATTCCGTCTAAGTTAATCCTTAATATCATGTAAACAAGTAGGACAAATTTGCACAATAATAAGGTTCAACTTAGCGTCATATCAAGATATTGGCTAAATTTAAATGATATTCTGTGCAGTACATGAAATTCAGCGCAATAAGTGAAGATGTAAATTATTATATTTACCAACCTTAATTCAAGTTTGTAAATCATGCTAAAAATTTCATTGATGAATCATTTTTACCAAAATTAAATCAATGAATCAAAATATCGAACTTGAGCCTTATATTAAACTTTTTCAAAGCAGTTTTATTAACAGCGTTTACGCATCAAAGATCAAAATTTTAATCACTGCAAATCAGCGCACCACATATTTCAATAAGATTTTTAAAATAAAATGTTCCCTTTATTCCCTTAAGAGGTACATGAGTAATTCGGTTACCACAAGAACTTAATAAATTCCATCAATCACAATTTTGCTTGCATACAAGCCGAAAGTTGCATAACACATACTCCCATGGATAAACGCACCATTGTATGAATAGAAAGAAATGACTGTACGTTTATTTAATGCATATGCCCCTCTGTACTAAGTAGGCTTAACAACACCCCATAAATGTCAGTATAAAACAGACACGTGACCGTTTGGTGGGAAATACGGGGACTCCATCGTGAAGGCAGAATAAACTATGAATCCCTTTCTGATTTCTGCTCTCCCGTCTCCCCTTAGGAGACTAAATGAGCTTGATGCAATAGCTGATACATACCAAAATGCTAATATTTTTAATTCATCACAGATCGAAATTTTTTTAATGATTAATGACTTTAATAACCCTTACGATATTGTATGAATATAAAAATATTTTCTGATTGAAGAGGACAATAGATTAAGGCTGTTGCTGAAAAAAGACTTCACATATATATA